TTCAAATAATAATTGGTGGATATCATTATTCACTATTTGCTGGGTTAGGAGGCATCCATTAATCACGTAGATAAATCAACTTTTAAGGAATTTGAGACCACTTGGCGATATTTAAAATTAACATTCCCCCTCAACATCATGTGTATTTGTAGTACCTAGAAATAATCCTAAAAAAATTGACTTGTTTTGGAAAATTTTGGATTTTAGGTAAATAGACGTGATATCTTTACTAGACCCTCCATTTCCTTTTAAGCCTCACGTAATTAATGTGCGCTTACTTAAAAAAAAATATGAATGTGTGATTTACCAAAGATAATTGTTAGATATTAGTATTTACTTCCTGCCTTCATAGTAAAAATAATTTGTAAGTAATTAGAACTCGCTGGATTGCACATTTTGCTTCTAATAATAAGAAATCTTAGCATCCGCTTCAAGATTAATGTGCATCCATCAAAAGATGGAAATAATAATAATGAAAATTTGATTGAATATATAAAAATTCAATAATTGAATGTATTATCGAAAGAGTAAAGTTAACCACAATTATGTTTTCATTTATTGTTACCTAAATTAATTTAATTAATATATAATTATTATTTAATGGGGGAGGTGTTTGACAAAAGTGGTTCCTTAAGTGAGGTCTAATAGGAGAGGAAGTGTTTGTCAAAAAATATCACTTGAGGAGTGTCTAGTAAAATACAAAAGCGTGTATTTATATTTCACCTGAATTTAAAAATAAAATCCAAAATTTTTCAAAAAATGTCCAAAACGTGTACGATTTTCTCTAGATAGGTTTCCAACTAAAATACACGTGATGTTGGGTGAGGAAAGAAGTTAATTGTGAATATCACCAAGGAGGAGGTTGATTAACTTTCCGTATGGTAAATTATAGTAATCGCAAAACAATCTAAAATTAAAAAAAAATCTTTCAAATTCTTATTAGGATTTTCGTACACATTTACATTTTAGAAAAAATGTATGTATTTGTGTGTGTGTGTCTTCGGATACAAATTTTCCTCGACGATTTTGTGAACACAGATCAACCGATTTGAATCATTCAAAAAACATTCGATTCGTATTGACGAGCTGAAGAGATTGTTTTTGATAAAGCCAGGTGGAGCTGATTCATAGATACGGGACAAAAAGTTCCATAAGTGGTAAATTTCTTAAAAAAATTCAAGTTTCAGCAATTTGTCTTAAGGCACAATGCCATGCACTACTAGTTTTATTAGCACATGATTAATGGAGAGTCCCTAAGTCTCTAATATAATAATTTCTATTTTTCAAGTGTGAAAATAGTCTTACATGAGTCCGTGGATTGCGCGAGTCAAACGACTAGGTCGTGTATGCGCGCTTTATGGTATTCGCATTCAACAAGTGGCATTGAGTGGTTTCAGCGGCATTCATAATTTTTCGACATCAAATTTTGTTAGAAAATAAAAATACTTCAAAAACTAGCTGTAAGTGGAATTCTGTCTTAAGGCAATTAAGGCATCGTGCCTTAAGGCAAATTGCTGGAACTTCCCGTACCAAAAATTATTTTTTTAAAAACGATTAGCATTTTTGAAAAAAATTTACTTCAAAAAAATAAGATTTTTGACAAACAATTAGACAAAAAATTACTTTTTTTTTTAAAAAAAAAATTTTTTAATTTTTTTTTTTTTAATTTTTTTTTTTTGAAAAAAAAATGTTTTCTTTATTTTGACATATTTTGAAAGATCTAAACTTTTTTTCAAAGCAATCGTACTGCTTTAACTGCATAAAGACGAAATATCAAACCGCGTAAGCTCCGCGTCGACGTCTAACGCGTAAACATTGGTACGGAACCCATAGGAATGTAAACCAAAATTATACTTATTGTTAAAATCTCTATAAAATATCTGATAATTTGATGTGCATATGTCTAATGATCATTTTTGACCGCCAAATGGCATTTTTTTTTACTTTTTTCATTAGATCTCCGAAACCGCTAGACCTGCCTTTATGAAAATTTGATCGGTATTTCACCTTGTCAATACAAGTAAAACGTTTTTTGAATTATTAAAATCGGACGCTCCGTTCTCTTAAAAACTGAGTTACCGTTTTCGGCACTTTTTGCCCCGTATCTTCGGAACGGCTAGACCTGACTTCGCCAAAAACTAATCAGCACGTCTCCTTATCAATACGAATCGAATGTTTTTTGAATTAATCAAATCGGTTGATCGGTGTTCCCGAAATCGTCGACGAAAATTTGTATCCGCACATACATACACACACGCACACACACACACACACACACACACACACACACACACACACACACACACACACACACACACATACATCCATTTTTTCTAAGGTATGCCAAAATATTCAGAAACCTTTGAAACGTCGAGAAATGCAAAAATTTTCATTTTCGATTTTTTTGTGATTACTATAACTTACCCTACGGGAAGTTAAAAATTATGGATGTCGTGCCAAATTTATTTTTGGATGTATCTTTTAAATAAATGTTATGTATATAAATATACATATATATGAATCTATATGTTACTGTATTACTAACTTTTTTTTAAAGACAAACCAGTCTAGAATTTAAAAAAAAATTATTTTGTGTTTTTTTATATATTTTTACAAAGTTTAACTATGCAAGAATATGTGTGCAATAGAATATTTCAAAATTTCAATTATTTTCGGAGATATTCCAACAAACTTCTGGTATATAAAGTCTTAAAACCAATGTGGACTTACGGCCTTTCTCTCTGGGATACTGCAAGTCGAACCAACAGAAACATTCTACAAAGAACCCAGAACAAAATCCTTAAGAAAATACTGGAGGGACCCAAATAATTGGCAATTGTTCCTAATTGATTGGATGGATTTGCCAATTGTTCCGAATTGGCAAATCCATCAAGACAGCAATAAATACACAATAGCAGAAGAAATCAGAAGATTCGCATCCAAATACCAGACAATATTGGAAAACCAACCCAATGAACTTGAGAAAAACCTGTTCTTTGCAAATACTATTAGGAGATTAAGAAGATTAAACCCATCAGATTTTGCATAATTATTTTAAAATTTAGATTTATGATTGTTTTCTCTATATATTTTACAAACTTAAAATGACTACCACTGGGTAGTATTTTAAAATATTATTCTACACTTAGTTATAATAATTACTCAATGCCTTACAGGCTGATATAGCTGTTTCACCACGATAATCCTCCTCTTCTTCAAACTGTCTTTATGATATATGATACCCACAATTTCTCAACTTCTACTGCAATTTTCACAGTCTTCTTTAAAGACTTCTCTTCAGTGTGAACAATGCTCATTACCAAATTCCGATCTTAATTTTTTTTTTAAATTAAAAATACCAAATAAAGTCGTAATTTATTTTTTCAGGCAGCCGCAATTTTGAAATCCCGGTCCTATGGTCAAATGCTAATGTTTTAAGATCCCCCACTTCATCAGCATTTAAAATTGAAACTTTATGATTATTTTTGAAATTAAGAAGCAAGCAGGAAAATAATCTTAAATTATATATATATATATATATATATATATATATATATATATAGTTCATTTATCCCTTTCTTCCTGTTCGTTTCTCATAGATCAAATAATGAATAATTGTCGCGGAAACGAAAGCAGATGAATTTGCCATAATGAAAAGCGCGTCAAATGTTCTTCTCGTCTTTGATGTCGACTTGCATGCAGAGTTAGTAATGAGCCAAATGCGAATACAAGTCTTAGGTACTCAATCAGCCGTCTGTCAGCTCTGAAATAGGCTAATGGACTGACTGAGAGGCTAAAAGACCATACGGTTCTCGTATGTTTTTTTACTATATAAATAGTAGTTGGAATATTATTTTGCACAGTTCTGTGAAAACAGAGTACAATGAAAATTATGCCTGCCAAATTTAGTATACAGATGAAATTTTTCAATCAGGAAGTCCATAAATTGTAGTGTAGTATGTTGTTTCAACGCGTAATTGATCAGTACCTACGTGAAGTATCATGATCAAATCCTTGAATTTTTCTAATTTTCAAAAGTAGGAATTTTATTTTGCACATTTCGCCAACAGGGAAAACAGATATACCGATCAAATTATTACACATAAAAAATTGTTCATTTAGGAATTGGATAAATTGAAGTGGAGTATGTTCTTTCAAGGAATATCCAATTTATCCATATGTGGACTTTCATGATCATTGATGCAATTGTGACACTTTCATTTTTTATTTGAATTTTTCTATATTTCTAAAACGCAATTACTATCACCTAAATTACTCAAATAATCAGATTTTCGCGACCAGTATTAGTTGCATTCGTTTGACTTATATTTGAAACTACTTCCCAATGCTATCATAATTAATGAAAAAGATAACTTATTTAATTCGCATCTAGTGATCATTTTTCATTTATAAATGGTCACCAATTATGATGTTCCTAAATCGATGAATTGGTCTATTTTTCTAAAATTCAATTGTTATTCTTTAAATTATTGAAGCATGAGATTTTCAGGTACTCATTTCAAAATCGTTCCATTGAAAACGTAATCACTATCATTTAAATTGCCCAAATAATATTATACTAAAGTAAGAGATTTTCAGGCACTTAAGATCAGTATTATTTGCAGTAGTTCGAATTTTATTGCAGACTACTTCCCAATGCTATATATTTTTTTTTAATTACAATATTAATTATAACTGTTAAAATAGTTGACATCTAGCAATATTGATTAATAATAACATAAATTTAAATAAATAAAAGTGCAAAGGATAGAATTTACGTGAAAATTTACATTTTATCACCAAATATGATGTTCCTAAATCGTTGAATTATTCTAATTTTCTACAACTCAATTTTTATCGTTTTAATTACTAAAGTACGAGAATTTCAAATACTAAGTATACTATCTTTTTATATTAAGGATTAATGTAAAATAAAATTTCATACATGTAAGATTACTTTGTAATATAATAATTAAATATATTTTTAATGAGAGACTTACCTTTTATTTAATTCGTTTCTTGTTGCGCATAGAGACCTCCTTAACCTGTAACAAAGAAAAAAACTATGAAAAAGCATCCATATAAAAAACAATAACTTGATTAAATAACTAATATTTGAAAATACAGTAGAATTTTATCTCTCCTATCAAAAATCAGATATGAAAACTCATCTATTACTGGATTATTGATAATCAATTAGTTAAATTTACTTTAAAAAAATTCACCAAAATCTGTAATAGACTTATCTAGAGAAAAAAATCTATATATGTAATTGATAACCATTTAGCTAATTTTACCGAATAAGAAAGATAGAGGTTTGATTATATTTCGCGAAGATCGTCGAATTCTATGTTTAAAAATAATGATTTTCAGTTTCATTATTTTGTTATTGAATGGATTGATTTGATCATCCATACACATGGATGTGGGAGTCGATTCTGTCTCTATTACCCCCTTAGATTGAAATTTTCATCCAATTTAGTTCTTTTCCGCATAAAGGAAAGATTCGCCATTCGCCACTAAGCAATCAGGTTTTTATTGATTTTTCTTCCAATAAAATTTTCTAAACAAGGACTTCGCATTTTTTGTTTGGTCTTCACCGTATCGATGTCATCTGCACGTGTAGAGTATATTTACGCACATTTTTTCTTATGTGTGTGTTCCAGTTGGATGGAATTTTCCTTAGAGTATGATTTGTGTGTATTGACATTGTGTGGCAGCCTGGTCATTTCGTGATGCTTTACGAGTTTACAAAGTTAGCCCGTTCCGCACTAAACGACTCGAAATGAAGGCAACCTATCGCATTTTCTCATCGCGGCAAATAATTGGACGGCTGGGAGGGAAATTGAATCAGGAAAACGGATAGACGACCAGAAAAAGGAAAATAGGCAATAACATGGATCATCGATTTGGAATGTCGATAATTTTAATGATCGGTGCAGAAAAGGATGAATTTCTATACATTGTTATAATGGTGTTGGTAAGAATCACCAGATCAACTACCAAAGGTAATAGATAATTAGTAGAAAAGATTAGTAGAGAGAAAAGTTGAATGGAGTAAAGTTATATTTTTGGATTCAAAAAGTTATGGATTTAAGTACAAAACATCAGATCAACTGCCAAGATCATTGAAAAGTTAGTAGAAAGATAGGATGGTTAGTAGAAAGAGTTAAGAGAAAAGTTGGATGGAACAAAGTTCTACTTCTGGATGGAAAATGTTCTAGATTTTGGTAAGAATCAGATCAGCTGCAGAATTATTAGAAAGTTAGTAGAAAAGATAAGTAAAGAGGTGGATGGAGTTACGTTGTAGTGTTGAATGGAAAAAGTCCTAGATTTAGACAAAAACCATCAGATCAACCGCCAAAATTATTAAAAAATTAGTAGAGAAGATTAGTAATAAGAAAAATAGTTGAAGAGAAAAGTTGGATGGAGTAAACTTTCATATTTAGATAAGAATCAACAGCCAACTGCCAAGATCACAAGAAAATTAGTAGAAAAGATCAGTAAAGGAAAAGTTGGATGAAAGAAGTTTTGATAAGATATTAGATCAACTGCCAAGATTATTAGAAAATTAGTATAAAAAATTAGTAAAGAGAACAGTTGGATAGCGAAAAGTTGGATAGAGAAAAATGGATAGAGCAAAATTGGATAGAGCAAAGTTGGATAGAGCAAAGTTGGATAGAGCAAAGTTGGATAGAGCAAAGTTGGATAGAGCAAAGTTGGATAGAGCAAAGTTGGATAGAGCAAAGTTGGATAGAGGAAAGTTGGATAGAGCAAAGTTGGATAGAGCAAAGTTGGATAGAGCAAAGTTGGATAGAGCAAATTTGAATAGAACAAATTTGGATAGAGCAAATTTGGATAGAGCAAATTTGGATAGAGCAAAGTTGGATAGAGCAAATTTGGATAGAGCAAAGTTATAGTTCTGGATAAAAAAGTTCTAGATTTAGAAAAGAATCATGAGATCAACTGCTAAGATTATTAAAAAGTTAGTAGAAAAGATTCGAAAATAGAGAGGTTGGATGGAGTGAAGTTCTGGTTTTCAATGGAAAAAGTTTTAGATTTAGAAAATAATCATCAGATCAACTGCTAAGATTATTAGAACATTAGTAAGGAGAAAAGTTGGATAGAGTAACGTTATGTTGGATGGAAAAAAACTGATGGATTAAAAAATTGGTAGAGAAAGCTAGTTAAACCTCAACCTTGAGAATGTAAAATATCAAATTGTCTCTATATGTATTCTATATCTCTATATTTTTGCTGCTTCTGAATAGTAAATAGAATGAACTAATAGTTGGCAACCGTTCTTTCTCCATTAGTTTAGATTAGTTTCATCTCCAAATTAGTTTTGTCTTTATATCAATTATGTACTGCAATTTTTTTCGAGCTCCCAGATTATTTCTTAGCAAGTTCTAGTCAACCGAGAACAGTGTGTACTCACTTGTGATCGGAACGCAATTATAGATTAACAATGCGGTTTTGTCCTTTCAAATCCACTATCAGAAACAAACGAATGAATAGTAGTAATGTATAGAGGTAAATTATAACCAGGTGGGAAATTAAATAGAGCAATAGAGATTATGAATTAAATAGAAGCCAAAGCTTGATAGTAAATGATATTCACTATCCATAATTTGACCAGTCCCAACAATTGTTACTACCACTCTACCTACTAAAATCCTACCATCAAATATTATAGCACCTTAAAAATTCTATAAGAAACGGCTTGAAGCAAAAGACATAAACTCTATTCCTCATGTTGACCAAACAATATATGCTCCCCAATATTACCCAATATCAATTAAAATTGTAAAAGAAAATAATTTTTCCAATACAATGATTATTTCTATTTATGAAAATATAATTCCTTATACAATATGGCATTGGATATAAAAAAATAAATTTCATGATATTAGCAATAAAACTTTTATTCTGTCCATAAATGTATAATAGTCTTTATATGATCACGGAACAAGAAGTAAAGCGAATTATAGAATCCATGAAGGTGGGCAAATATATAAACAGGTAAATTTTTATATATATATATATATATATATATATATATATATATATATATATAATATATCGAGAATGTTGTAAATAATATTTTAATACTGTTGTTTGAAAATTACGCTTATTTTCGTCCAAAAACAATTTAAATTGCGCATTTCTCGAGCAAATTAACACGCAGTGTAAAATTTTTGCTTACTTCGCAAATCAGTTTCAATTTATTCTAATAATATCATACTATAATTACGATACTAAAAATATTGATAAGTTTAAATCTTTATGACTTTTTTATATTTATGTTATTATAATAGTAAGAAAATAACTTAATGCATTAAAACAACTAAAACATAGTAGTTAATGTAGTAATTTATTACCCTCTAATTTTCATTTATAAAATGATATATTTAAAAATTTTAAATTATTTTAAAATTCGTGAAAGTCTATTACTCGAAGTTGAAAAGATTGTAGCTGATTTATCGAATTTTTTCAATATTTATTTATTTATTATATCATACTGCGTGTACAAAATATTTATTTAAAACCATTACATCTGATTATTATTCCAAATTGCTGAAATTTTCCTCACTAAGTGTTCAAACATTGCCCGAAGTGTACTGCGTTTTACTAAAAGCAAATGTAATCTTCGAAAATATTAACCTCAAGACGGTTAAGATAATTTTGATATTTACAATTTCATTTAAAATACTCTTGTATATTTATTTGTGACGTCAATCAAGAACAAATATGAATTTTTCGTCAAGAAATATATTGAACGATTTTTTTCTGAGAACATGTGTGAAAGACAAACGAATTTATTTTTCATTAACAGTTTGGAACTCTTAACACTTAACATGTGACAATGATTGTCACAGATGGAATTTTATCATAATAGGAAAATGAAATATTTATATAAATGTGAAAATTATATAAATATGATTTTTTAATCTAAAACGAAATCAACTTCATGCGGCCCTTTAAATATTATTCTGCATCCCTCTGATCATTTTTAAAGTAGAATTTTATTTATTTCATCAACTTTCTTCCATCAAATAATGACTTTTTATATTAATTTTTTTTATAAAATATAATGTTAATATAATATTAAAATGTTTGTTAGTAAGCTTGATAGCGTAAATTATTAAGAAAATTTTCAAGTTCAGATTAACTTATTTAATTAAAGCCAACAAGATGTTTGCAGTGAATTAATCTCTATTAATAAGAAATTTTCTTGAATTATTTTGACTTTGGACACGATGGTATTTTATAGTCACAAAATATGGAATATCATTCTCAAAATAGATGTTTACTTTAATAATTTCCTAAACATGTTATGTAATGAAAACCGTGAATAGCTAAATAAATTGTAGAGAATTTATATTGCATGAAATCAGAACCGAATTGCGGAAAATTTACCAGAAATAACAACATCTTTTGCAAAAATAGACTTTAGAAGGGGCTTCTTCAGAAGGCAGTCCAATGGTTGTTTTATTTATATTAGATTTTTTTAAATATACATTAAAAATAAAATGCATCAATGCCGAGAAAGACTAATTTTCACTCCGAAACACATTTTTCATTTGTCCAAAAAGCGGTTGGAACTTAGGACTTTTTGATTAAGAAGCCTAGAATTTATCAGAGTTCTACGAACCTCCCTTTTTGGTATTTTAATTTGACAAAATTGGTTATCTCTTCCTAACTTTTTAGTGTATTCCGCAATTGGTTAATTATAGAGAATTTATATTGTGTGAAGTCAAA